TGACCATGAACCTGTCGTCTCTATAGCCCCTTCCCTTTGTTCTGCCTCTGTCTACATAGGTACAGATTCATGGCCTCCTACGGGGCCAGGCCCCTTCTGCAGAGCTGCCCCAACTCTGCCTGAGAACCCCCTCACAGGCGCTCTCAGCTCCTTCAAGTGGCTTGCAGAGTCTCAGATTAATCACCCACTCCAGTGTGGCCACCAGCATGGGAATAATTTTCTCCCAGAACATTCCCAGCTCGTGCAGCAAAGAGCACTGGAGAAAGACCTCCCTCAGGCATTCCTCCTGGGGAGGAGTAGACTGCAGGAATGGGGTGGGACAGGTGAACAGGAGAGCCCCAACCTGCTCCGGTGACCCCCAAGGAGGGCCTAGGTGAGCAGGAGTGCAGGTAGTGAGATGTGCAAGAGGGTGAGGAGGAGGAACTCTCCACATCCGCTGGACAGAGACCCTGCACCAGGAGTGGGCAGGACATGAGCAGCATGAGAAATGCAGACTGCACTCCAAGGCCTTCCCAAGCACAAGGCAAAGCTCTTGGCTGTGAACCGCCTCCAGCAGGGGCAAGAACAAGTGTCTCCTGCAGGCTTGCTCCAGGATGTGCAAGTTCTGGGGTTCCGGGGCAGTTCCTCCTACCCCACTGGACGGAGAGGTGGGGAGCCTGGCAGGAGGACCTGTCCCCTTTCTGTGCTTTAGTGACCCTGGCATAAACTAGACTGAGGGACTGAAAGACCTTGGAGGGCCTCTCCAGGGCAGAACTCAAGGAGCCAGCTCTGCCCCAACCTTTGAGTCTGTGCTGGCCACATTTCTGGAACATCCATGAAATGGCTGAGGCAGCTTTTTCTGGCAAGGTGCATGCCACTGGGTGTGTGTGGTGTGTGTGTGTGTGAGAGGGAGAGAGAAAGAGAGAGAGAGAGAGAGAAGAGAGAGACATGTAACATCCAGGTGCATGCAACATTCCAACAGGCGTGCTAGTAGGGACACACTTGCACACACAAGGCATGATGGTTTGGAGTTGGGGGGAGGTGCTAGGCAATGTCCTCTGACCCCTCAGAACTCCCTGGGAGGGCCCGGCACGGTGATCTAGTGGCTAAAGTTTTTGCCTTGAACGTGCCATGATCCCATATGGGCACCAGTTCTAATCCCGGCAGCTCCACTTCCCATCCAGCTCCCTGCTTGTGGCCTAGGAAAGCAGTCGAGGATGGCCCAAAGCCTTGGGACCCTGCATCCATATGGGAGACCTGGAAAGAAATTCCTAGTTCCTGGTTTCGGATCGGCACAGCACTGACCATTTTGGTCACTTGGGGAGTGAACATCGGATGGAAGATCTTCCTCTCTCTATCTCTCCTCCTCTCTGTATTCCAACTTTGTAATAAAAATAAAATAAATCTTAAAAAAAAAGAACTCCCTGTTTGCTGCTGATGAGAGCCAGGTGGTGGGGGTCTGCTCTGAGTAGTCAGTGTAGGGTCTGGGTGCAGCTTGGCTTTGGACCCTGGCCCTAACCTGTTAACCGGGTGACAACCTTGGAGTCTTGATTTCCCCATCAGAGGGACACAGTGAGGGCTCCTTACAGAGAGCCCTGGCACAGCGCAGCCCTGGCACAGTGCAGCCTTGCATATTATGGGCACATAGATTCCAACTTCAACTCGAGCAGCCAAAGCAAGTGGCCACTGGGAGCCACAACTTAGAAAAATCGGGATCGGATCCTCTCATCTGCCACTAGCGATGTGCCACGTGACATGGGCTTCCAAAGCCTTAGTTTGCTCAGAGACACATTGGGGCCATCATGATATGAGGACTGTGCCCACCTACCCTGATGGGGAGGCCTGAGGGCTCTGGGTAACCTTGGCATGCTGCAGGCCAGAGGCTGGGGGGATCAGGGCTAAGAGAGCAAGGGCCCAGCAGTGGCAGCCACCTCCCTCCCTCCCAATTCCCACAGCTTCTGACCCTGGGCCAGGCTGGGGGAGGATGTTTACAAATTCATAAAGTTTCACTTAGAGTAGGGTGGCCGCTGCAGCTAGAGGCTGGGAGCAGCAGGCCATGGAGGGTCAGAGGATTGTGCGACCATGCCCAGCCCCTTCAAGTCCAGCCCTCTGCCTCAGAGAGGGGCAGTGAGGGGCTGAGCAGAAGGACCCTAAAAACCACCAGAGGTGGGTTGTGCCATGGTCTCCCAGAGAACAGAGCCTGCAGAGGCTAGAGGTGGTGGGTAAGCTTGGGTGACAGCAGGAGTGTGTGTGGGGGGAGGGGCAAAGTTTGAGAGTGAGGCTTGGAGACAGGACCAGAGGCCTAAAGACAGGGGGGGGTGATGCCAAACATGCCCTGGTTCCAGAAGCAGCAAGAAGCCAGGGCCCAAAGCTTTTGGCTGCCAGGAGAGGCATGCCCTCCAACCTGGCAACTGGCTCTGGATGCCAGACAAGGTGCAGGTGCTGCCTGTGGCCAGCTGGCAGGTACAAAGAGCGAGCCAGTCTCCCCAATGCCCTGCCCCAGGAGCCCTTCTTCCCTTCCTCCTCTCCCAGGCTGTCCTGCCAGTTAGCCTCCTCTTGCAGCCACCTGCGGCACCGCCAAGGGGATCCTTACTCACTATTATTCCCTTGGTTTGTTTCTAGGAAAGACTGGGAGTGGGCAGGGGGTAGAACCCCATGTACAGTGGGAGGGGGAGGAGCCCAGCTGTAGAAGCAGGTCCCTGTGAGGACACACATACACAGCAGTGAGCACCAGGACAACCCCCCTGCCCCGCGGCATAGGCTCCCCCAGCCCCAGTACCAACCACCAAGCCTCAGGCCCCAACAGGCCCCAGCTTACCAAGCGCCTTCCCACCCATGACCTCATCTCAGAGGCGGGCAGGCAGGCTGGGCTTCTCAGCTACATGGACAACCTAGAGACAGAGGCTTGGAGAGACCCAGTCAGGACACAAGCCCCTTCTTCCCCATGCCCTGGGTGTGCAGAAGGTGGGTCCTTCCCTCCCTGCCCCTACCCCAATCCTGTAACCACCTCTCAGACGCATGCCCAGCTCCCTGAGATCCCTAACCACCCAGATGTCATCACACCACCTGTCCTCCCTCGGAGCTCCCAAGAAGTGCCTCGGCCCCTGGGCTCCTGGGGACAAGCATGCCCCTGGCCAGGGCATTCCTGGCATCAGAAAAGGGCCGGATGTAGGGCAAAGGTGTCAGCGGATTTAGCTCCTGGGGAAGGAAAGGGAGGCCTTTCCAGAAGAGGTGACAGCAGTGGCCGGCCAGGGGACAGACAGCAGCTCCTTCACCCCCTGTGACCCTTGCGGGGCCTTGTGTGGCCAGGTCTGGGGGTAAGGACCCCCATCCTGGATGCAGATTGGCTATTCCAGCCCCAGCCATGCCTAGACAAAGTCATGTTTCAATAGCTGCCACTGGTGTGCACAGCTGCCACCTGCAGAGCATCTCACCTTGCAGGAACAGTCAGGGGGTCCCACAGTCTGTCACCTCAGGCCCACCAGCACAGAAGCCCTAGCATTCCATTGAGCCTCTCTGTAGTGACAGGAATTGATCCCAGACCTCTCAATGGGTACTGGGGATTGGCTACCGCTTACCACTGACCCTGACCCAAAGCCCAACCTCACATCCTGAGCAATCTCAAGTCTGCCCCAGACTTGGCCAGGGTTCTCGGGGTGCAGTCAAAACTGCCACTCCCAGGTACGTCACGACTGGGACACTTCTCATTCTCTAACCCTCCCCATGGCAGCTTCCTTCCCCTCCCCTCACACTGCTGTGCCCCAAGTTCAGAGGGACAGGGGCAGGCAGGCATCAGACTAAAAGGCAGGCACAGGAGGACACAGGGGAGAAGGGGGCACAGGTGGATACACAGATGGAGAGACACACGAAGTTCATGGGACAGACCGACAGAGGGGTGGACACAGGCAATATGGGCAGGTGGAGGGATGGGCACACCTCTCCATGGGACAGAGAGGTAGCAATTGGTCAGGCCCAGGGATAGGCAAGCTGGCCACCCTGGAGACCCCAAGACCAGAGGGCTGTCCAGAGAAGGGACTAACAGAGACACATTTCCCAGAGACCAGAGGTCTCTTTCAAGCACCTGCGAGCGTCCCAGCACAAGGCTCAGCCCTTCAACTGATATCCGCCGGGCCTCTCATGTTCCCGGCCGGGGCCAGGCCATCCCCCAAGACAGAGCTCTGAGCTGCCAAAATTCACTCTTTGCTCTCCAAGAAGGGTCAGTGCTTCTAAAAGTTACAGGAGCCCAGCCAGGGGGAGGCGGGGTGCCCACGGCGGCAGTGTTTCCAAACCTACCCCTCTCTTCTTTCTTTTTCCCCTGGCGCCCAGAGCCAGGCCTGTGCTGCCGGCCAGCAGGCAGGCAAGCTGGGCCTCGCTGCCCAAGCAGGGCAGGGCGAGCTGGGCCGCTGCTGCTACTGCCTCTGCCACAACCGCTGGAAAGTTGAGGATGGTAGAGAAAGCCAGGGAAAGACTGATAAAGTCAGACACAGTTCACAGGGCCTGCGACCCTCCCAAAGATTTTCCATCACAGCCAATCCTGGACCGGGGTCAGGCACATCCCTGGAGAGGACCACGTCCAAAGGGGGCAGGTGTAAGTTCATCATAAGCTACACAACTGGCGAAGAGGATATAGAAAATATAAGACCATGGGATGTTCTGGCTAGGGCAGAGGTGAGGGACAGGAAAAGGCACCCCAATTTATAAGTTCAAGTATTGGCAGAGTGCCTGGGTGTAGGAAACTGGAAGTAAGGGAGTACCTGGGATGGAGGAACCGCACTTGGCGGTCAGGGAAATAAGTAGAGATGGCAGCGATCTGGAGCCAGGGCAAGCAGGGGTGAGACAGGAAGGTCGGAGGTCAGGCTACTGATCATCAGAAAGGAGAGTCAGGCCGGAGTGTGGGAAGAGATACGAGGGTCGGCCCGAGGTGGGTTGGGGGGGCAGGAGGCGGAGTCAGGGCGGGGCAGCCGTCCTGGAGCCTACGAGGGCACCGGGGCAAGAAGAAAGGGCGCGGGGCGCGAACTCACATGAAGACGTGGTAGACGAAGGCCCAGCCGCGGGGTCGCTCCAGCACGTTGTAGACCCAGTTCTGCAGGCGGCGGTAGCGCTTGTGTGCAGCGGAGGAGCGCTGGCCGCAGGCGGAGCCCGAGCCCGAGCCCGGCCCAGGGAGGGGCGCGCCCGGCGGCAGGGGGCTGCCCAGAAGGCCCAGGCGGCGCGGGGAGCCGCCCCCGCCCGCCTCGCCCTGCTCGCTCTGCACCGCCGTGAGCGCCACCAGCTCGGCGCGGGGGGCGTCCCCGGGCGGGGGGCCCAGGCCGAGGCGACGCGGGGGGGCCTCGGCCATGGGCGGCGCCGGGCGGAGGGGCGGCCGGGGCCCGGGCACAGTCCGGGGCGGGGGCGCGCTCGGGGCGCTCAGCGGCTCATGGCTCGGACCCAGGGCCGGCGGAGCGACCCGGGATGGGCGCGGGCGGCGAGGGGCTAGGGGCCTGGCTGGGGCCGCGCCGGGGTCGGGGGCGGGTGCTCGGAGCCTGGGGGCCGCCGGAGCCCGCACTGACCGCCCGCTTCCCCGGCGACTGGGGCGGCTCTTTCCGACTCCAACTCTCTTATTACGCGCTCCATGCCGCTCGCCTTTCCACCTGCCGCCGGGCGCCGCTCACATGTCACCCTCCCCCGCCCCGCCCGCCCGCCCCGCCGCCCCCGCCCGCCCCGCGGCCGCCTTCCCAAATCGGGAGGGAGCGAGCGAGCGAGCGAGCCGGCGAGCGAGGCGCAGGGAGGGCGGGAGCGCGCCTGAAGGCGGCGGGGCAGGGGTACAGGGGCCGGGCTGGCTGCTAGCCGGGCGGTCCGGAGCGAATGTCAGGGCGGGCGCAAGACGCGGGAGGCTGGGCGCGAGAAAAGCGGCATGCACGAGTGCGTGGGCAAGGGTGGCCCCGAAGGCCCTGGGGGTGGGACGCGCCCAGGGGGCGGCTGGGCCGAGCGAGGCGTGGCGCGCGCAGGGGTGGCCGGTCGTGGACGAGATTCGGAGCCCTGGGGAGCCGAGGTGTGGCTGGGTGGAGTGTCCACCTGTGGGCACGCCAAGTGGCCCCCGTGCGGCCGAGTGTGAAGAGGGAGGCGCAGGGCCCGGGCTCGCAGAAGTGCGTGGGGCAAGGAGCGTGGGCGATGCGGGTGGCCGCGGTCCCGCTTGCTGCCCCTGGCTTCAGGTGTGCTCTTGGGCGACCAGGCTGCACCAGGGCACGGACGCTGCCCTGGGCGGACCTCAGGTGTGTTCGCTCTTCCCGCAGCCGGATCTATTCCTGGGCGTCCCTTGAATACGACCCACCACCCCCAACCTATCGCCATCCCTCGAAGTCGCCCTTGCTCTCCAGAGGGACCTCCGCTGGCCTGGGACTGTCTTCCCCTGCCTCCCGCCCAGCTCAGGCTTCTCGGCACAGGGGGTGTGGGGAGCCGGCTTAGTGGGGTCCGGAGACTTCCCCCCACCCAGAGGCTGGCACAGTCCCACCGCGGGAGGCTTCCGCTGCAGCAGCCCCTCTTGGGCGGAAAAGTTGCAGAAGTGCCTGCCCTCCGCCCGCCCGCCCACTGCGAGAGGGAGGGGACGCCCTTCCCCCTCCGCCCACGCCCCCGCCCTTGGCCGTGCCAGCCCCGGGCAGGGTAGTAATTTGGGTTTTGCCATCCTTCTCCTCCTTCCCCAGCCGTTCGAGCTGCAGCCGCTCCCTTCGCCGGCCCTGCTCCAGGGTGAAGCGCTTCCGCAGCAAACTCCCGGTTCCTCCGGGAGGGTCTCGGGGGACAGCGCGCGGCGGGCGGGAGGGGCGGCCAGGCGAGCTCGATTCTCAGCTGTCAGCAAAGGCAGCATTGATCTGCTGAGCGTTTCTGGGGAAGAGAGGGAGGGCGGCCTGGCTGTTGGAGGCGTGCAGGGAACCTGGGGATGGGGGGGTCCCCAAGCTGGGGCACACCTTTCTGCACAGAGACCCTTTCTCTTGCCGGGGGGAGGGGCTGGGGGGAGGAGTGCCTTCTGGGCTCTGTCAGACCTGAATCTCTCCAGCTATTGCTGGCTCCAGGTATGCCTGAAGCCTCTGGGCAAGGGATTGCCCCCATCTTCCACTGGTAGCTGGGGAAGGTTCTGTACCCAGGGTCCCCCTCCACTACCATGCATGCAAAGCCCAGGCTAGGCTATCCCCTTTCTTCCCTGTGAACCCAAGCCAGCACCACCTAAACATGTGGCAGTGTCCTTCTTGGTGGTGGAACTGCCTACCTGGACCTCCTCAATCCAGGGTCCTGCCAGTGGAGAAGACAACGGCCTGAGACATTATTGGTGCAAAAAAAAAAAAAAAAAAAAAAAGCACGTGCAAGGGGTCTGGGGTCTTTGGGTTAAAATGGAGAGTGAATTCCAGCTGCCTTTATCAGTGTTTAGAATCCTGTAGTTGGGGCTGTGCTGGGACTTGGGACCTGGAGCCCTGCTGCACCTCTGGGCCCTGGGCCTCCTGCCCCTTTCCCAGGAGCAACCCTCTCTGTGTGTCTCATACCACTCAGCGCAATCTCCTCAAAGCAGCAGCAGAGACCATGGTGGCAGCGAGAAGGGTGGCAGTTAGAGCTCAGGCAGGACTTCCCCAGGACAGAGAGGACTGTTTTACTTGAAGGAGTAGGTGTCATGGAAGGACAGGTGCACTGGTGCTGGAAAGGAATATGCAGAACTCCTAAGAGCTGGAAGGAGCCAGGAGACACTTCTAGAAGGAAGCTTTGGGACAGTTAGTTGGTGTGTGTGCATACATGGGATGTTGAAAGAGAAAGTCCAGTTCAAAGGAGACAGGTGGCCACTCTCAGGGTCACCCGGCGCCTTCCGGCCCCCATCCGGATTCCCAGGACATGACGGAGGACGGACTTTCCCTGCCACCGCCTTTAATGACTAAGACACTTTTCTGAGCAGACAGCTGTCTCAGGCTCCTTCCATGAGTCCTTCTTTTCAGGGGGGGTGTCTATGCTGTAGCTCCCCCCACTACTCTGTCCTTCTTCCTTCCCTCCTATCTGTTCTCTAAACCTCACCCTCCACAGCTTCCTTCCCACCCCAGGTCACATCTTTCTCCCTGCCCTGCCCAGACGCAGTCATATCCCACCTGCCCAAGTCCCTGGCACTACTCAGAGCTTCGGCCTCACCATCTGTCTGCCTGAGAAGAAGGGGGCAAGATTCCAGGACCTCCTGTAATTCATCACCGGCCCACCATCCATCACTGGAGCCATATTGATCTGGGGTTGGGGGGAGTGCTCCTATGTAGAGTGCCAACTGGATGCCAGGCTGTGTCCCTGGGGCTGGTGGGCAAAGAGCAGCCCTGGGCATGTGGGGAAGCTGAGGCCAAAAAGGAGCAAGATGCACAGCCAGCTGGGGACCCCCAAACCCTCTCAGAGCTGAAACTCTCCCCACCAGGTACTGGGATCAGGGCCAACTCGAGGCCAGCCCTTGTTCCGTTGGACTCATTGTGGCCAGAGCTGGAGTCTTACAGGTTAGAAGAAACTGAGGTCTGGAAATGACTGGGACTCAGGCCCCTCAGTGGCTTCCACTATGATCTGTGGTCAACCAAGATTTCCAACAAGAGAATTTGAGGAGAGGGTGGAGGAAGTCAGTGGTTCTTAGAATCCTTTTAGGAGTCTGTGATGTAGAAAAAAAGAGATGGAGCACAGGTGATCTGGTGGAGTCCAAGGAATTGGGGTTCCACCTACCTGCCTCCTTGTCTGCATCCCAGAAACCTGTGAAGGTTGCTGGAGGTCTGACTAGGTCTGCACAGACAATGGCAGAGCCAAGTCTGTCAGAGTGCATGAATGGGGAGGACTTAGAGAGGTACAGACATGGTAAAGCCTGCAGCTACCCTCAACAAGGCCTGGCAGATGCTTTAACCTGCACCTGCATGGGCTGTCTCAGCATCCCAGCAACCCAACTGTTCACAGCTCCCTTTGAGAGTCAAAACAGTGAGGCTCAGCGAAGATGGCTCTTAGCCCCTGTGCTGCATGCAGTTTGTGTGTGCCAGGTGCTGGGATCGGGGGAAGGCACAGAGTCTGAGGGAACACACGGCAAGAGGAGACCTTCAATGCCAGGTGGAAGGACGACAAGATTTGCTAGGACACAGGGATCCTGGCCAGGGCCACAAAAGAGAAAGCCCAGATTGAGCAGTGCAAGAAGGCTTAGACCCTCAGTGGTAAGCAGTGCCAGAGGCAGAAGGAGCACTGAACTAGGAGTCATGGCTGAGCTTCCAATCCTGGCTCTGCCTTGGGCCAGCTGGTGACCCCATGCAACCCCTTCCCCACCTTCTGTGATTGCCAGGGTTACAATCATGCACAAAGAAGTCACAATTCATGCAGGGAGCTGTGCAAGCATGAATCATCCATCTTGAGATGTGTGCTCAGGGCGCATGAGGAGAGGCCAGGAGAAGTTCCTGTCCCTCGCGGCTGCTTAGGAGAGGACTGGAGTACAGGGGTGCTTCTGGAGTGATGGCATCACATTTCTCTCTGAGGATCCAGCTCTACCCCCTCTTTTCCCTTTGCCACTGCTCCTGCCACTCCCCAGAAAGAACAGGACATGTACGTCACCCAGGGTCTAGAGGGGCATAGACATTGTCCCTTCCCTGGCATCTGGGCAAGCCACTGACTGGTCCCCTTCCTTCCATGGCCCCTCCCCAGCCTAGACAGAGCTGCAGGAAGTAGGCAGGGAGCATTGCTGAACTCAATGAAAGTAAATCCCCATTGGTCACAAGGACTGGAGGGGGAGGCCCCTGGGAGGAGAAGGGGCAAGGCAATGAAGGTCAAAGCCATCCCTCCTGGTGTGGTCACTTCTTTGCCTTTAGGGTTCTTTCCCCTTGACTCCGCCTCTGGGAGAGTGTGCACAGCTGACAGTAGGGTGGCCCTGCTGGGAGGCTCTCAACAGGAACGGTGGAACTGGTTGGAAAATGAAGAGGAGGAACTTCGCTGAGTGTGTGGTGGGAGAGAACCTCCATGATCTCCTGGTGGGAAAGCTGTGAGCAGGAATGGCAGGGGAGGGAGGCTTGGAAAAGGGAGATGGGGACTCAGGAAGAATGTGGGGGCTCAGCTGAGAAGCAGTGATGGGTAAGGGAGGTTCGAGAGTGAGCCTGCCAGCTTTCAAGCTTTCTGAGACCCCCTTGTCTTATATCTCAAAAGTCCACTGAAGTCCCTCCTCTTTGAGACATAGGGCATTGCAAGATAAATGCTGTTTATTTGATAAGCAGATCACTAGATACACGAAGCCATCTGCTGGTTACTTCTCCAAATGTCCATGATAGCCAGAGCCGGGTTGAGACTGAAGCCAGGAGTCAGGAACCCAATCCAGGTCTCCCACATGGATGGCAGGGACCCAATCCCTTAAATCATCACTACTGTCTCCCAGGGTGTCCATTGGCAGAGAAGCTGATGTCAGCAGTCAGAGGT